GACGAAAAGAGGGCAGGAGGAGGACTGGATGAGGACGAGTACGGAACGAGGACGACGTGGAGGACTGGATGAGCTGCAGCATATCTATGTTCGATCGACTCATTTGCTTTGCACTCGGCACTGGGACCACGTCGAGCTACTGTCGGGACGAGAAGCCCGACGGCGAGAAGCGAGGAAGAGGAAGGCAGATGGACGAGGTGGAAGAAAAAAGGCTCGGCGGAGGACGAGGACAGGGAGAGGGAGGAGGCGGCGGCAGACGATGGCGGTGTAGTGAAGACGTGCTATCTCTTTGTCTCTTTTCTCCTCTTTCCTCCTCCTCCTCCTCACCCTCCTTCTCCTCCTCCTCCTCCTCCTCCTCCTCCCTTCCTCCTCCTCCTCGTCTTCCTCCTCCTCCTCCTCCTCCTCCCCCGCGTCTCCTCCCCCTCGTCCTCCTCCTCCTCCTCCTCCTCCCCTCCTCCTCCTCCTCCTCCTCCTCTCCTCCTCATCATCATCATCATCATCATCATCATCATCATCATCATCATCATCATCATCATCATCATCATCATCAGCATCATCATCATCAGCATCATCATCATCAGCATCATCAGCATCATCATCATCCTGCTCCTCCTCATCATCCTCCTCCTCCTCCTCCTCCTCCTCCTCCTATCAGCATGTTGGGATGACGCCGATGGGCGGCCGCGTGGAGGCCGGAGCGGACGACGACGGAGCCTGGGGCGCAGGGCGCCGCCCAGCGCGAGGAGCCGGCCGTCGGTGCCGTGGTGCTGTGTGCCCGTGTCCGCGTCCGACGCGGCAGCAGCGACCGAGGCGACCCGGGGCGCCGCCGCGAAGAGGCCGGCGCCCGTCACGGCGTCTGATGTCGAGGTCGCCCGCCTCGCAGCAGACCGGGCAGTCATCGGGCGCAAGGTCGGGGAGAGCACCCAGGCGCCGTGACCCTCCGTCGGCATGGCAGTGCAGGGAGTCGAGGGGGCTGCGACATGGTCTGGACACGGACCCTTATCGGTAAGATGCTGTCGTGCAGGGGAGAGGCGGCGCATGAGCTTCAGCAGGAGCAAGAGGGGAATCCTCGAGGATGTCCTCCAGATTAGAGTTGGCCTCGGTAGAGGCAGAGAGCAGCGCGAGGTAGGTTGGGTCGCCGTCCGAGTCCGCATCCATAGTCAGACACGTGGCTGTTCGAGCAGGCTCGCAGGGTCACGCAGCCACCGAGCGACCAGGCGGAACCTGTCCGCGGAGAGGTCGGGGCGGAGCTGGCAGCAAGCCGACATCGCGAGGTTCACTTGAGAACCAGAATGACTACCTACCAGACCACCCCAACCCAACCCGAGGACCCGAATTTCGGGTTGGGGGGGGGTCAGGGTTCCACATGTGTTTTTTCGATGTTTCCCGACCCCCCCCCCACTGGAAATCGAGGATAAATCTGAGCCTTCGGGTTGGGTTGGGGTGGTTTGGTGGGTGGTGACAGAGAGAGCTCGCGGAAACTCGAGCCATCATCGCCAGCCCGAGGAGCAGGAAGAGCCGGGAGGACATCAGCATCAGGTGCCCGAGCAATCGGGGAGGGTGCCAAACCAGCCGAGCCGCGCGCGAGAGCCTCGGGCGCCGTCTCCAGCGCGCGCGCGCCGCAGAGGGTCTCGAAGAGACTTCCCGGGCATCGAGCCTGGCGGCAGAAAGAGGAAGCGCTCATCTGCAATCAGGTGCGACGGCATCGGCCAGAGCTGCGCCCTGCAGGATTGCACGGGCTGGCATCGCCGTCCGTCTTCGAAGAGACGGCCGTCATGTCCAGTGGCGACGCCGCCAGCGCGAGCACTCTCTCACGGAGGCGAGCAAGGGCGGCCGCCCATTGGGCCTCCAGCGTCGCGCCAGGGCCAATGAGGGAGCCCAGCAGCTCGACGCACGATGCCACGCCGAAGGCGCCCCAACCGCACTCCTCCCCCAGACACTCTCAGCAGGAGGAGGAGTGCACATCGGCGACTCAGGAGGAGGAGGAGGAGGAGGACGACGACGACGACTGCGAGGAAGGAGGAGGAGCATCAGCGGCCGGGCGATCGCGCGGCGATCGTGGCCGCCCTCTGCGCGCGGGCGGACCCGCGTGCTCTGGGAGAAGATGAGGCAGCGGTGCCCGCGCTTCTGCAGCTGCGGCAGCAGCGTCGACAGCACCTGGGGCGCCAGGGGGAGGCGCGCCGAGGGCGCGCGGAGCGCGGCGCGCGGGACCGCCGGTGCTGCGTGCACTGCCTCATCGTCCTCCTCGTCCTCCTCCTCCTCCTCCTCCTCCTCCTCCTCCTCCTCCTCCTCCTTTTTCCTCTTCCTCCTCCTCCTCCACCTCCTCCTCCTCTTCCTCCTCCTCTTCCTCCTCCTCCTCCTCCTCCTCCTCCTCCTCTTCCTCCTCCTTCTACTCCTACTCTTCCACCTCCTCCTTTTCCTCCTCCTCCTCCGCATCCCCCATTCCTTTTCCTTCTAAGAAACTTCTCCCTGTCGCACCCCGAAGCCAGATTTTAGGGCGGCCCGGCGTTGCGCCTGAGACTTCCTGACCACTTATGACTCTGAAGCCTAAACAAGTTGCAACAGTTTCACACCTTGAGGGCGGGTGGTTTTCAAAAGATGGCTCTCGCCTGAGCGCGGCGCATAATCGTTTACAACATTTGCAAGAGTTTCACTGATCGAGGGCGGTTCCTTTTCAAAATGCGGCTCTCGCCTGAGCGCGGCGCACATTGGTTCACAAATTTGCAAGCGTTTCACGGATTCAGGGCGGGTCCTTTTCAAAATGTGGCTCTCGCCTTGGCGCGGCGCACATTCGTTGCAAAAAACTGCAAGAGCTTCACGGATTGAGGGCGGGTCCTTTTCAAAATGTGGCTCTCGCCTTAGCGCGGCGCACATTCGCTTGCAACATCTGCCAGCGCTTCACGGATGCAGGGCAGGTCGTTTTCAAAATGCGGCTCTCGCCTTAGCGCGGCGCGCAGTCGTTGCCAAAACATTGCAAGCGTTTCAGTGATTCAGGGCGGGTGGTTTTCAAAATGTGGCTCTCGCCTTAGCGCGGCGCACAATCGTTGCAAAAAAATGCAAGAGTTTCACTGATCGAGGGCGGTTCCTTTTCAAAATGTGGCTCTCGCCTCAGCGCCGCGCACATTCCTTTACACAATTTGCAAGCGTTTCACTGATTCCCATCATCAACGTACCAGAAATTTCGTTTTGAAAGGATTAAGGATTACGCGGGCGCAGCAGTTACGCACGATTCAGGATCGTCAGCACGCAACAATCAGGTTGTTCCGTGGCTTTGGAATCCCGAGAATAATGCGTTGGCACGCTTCAGGGTCGTCAAACGGTTGCCTTCCAAAGAGGACGGTTCACTCAATGGAAATGAACCGTTGTAGGGGCCTACGAAGAGGAAGCTTGGAGAGAGGGTTTTTTTGTCAACATCGTTTATGACTCTTGGGTTTACAGTGGTCTCCTCCTCCTCCTCCTCCTCCTCATCATCATCATCATCACCATCGCTCATCACCATCATCAGCATCAACGTCGGCGTCACCATGACCACCAGCACCGTCGTCAAACTCAGCATCGTCAGCTTGTTCGTAAGCATCGTCATCATCACAATCATCACCAGCAGCAGCATCACCATTATCATCAGAAAGAAGGGGTCGAAAGGGCATTCACTGTCCCTGGGAGCGTGGCTGAAGTGGGGTTCCGCGGTGCGGAGTGTTGTTGCGTTGTTGGTGGTGCGTTGGATTCTAATTTCTGGAGAAGAGAAATGTTCGATCCTCCCTTCCGGCACGATTCTGGCACGATTCAGGATCGTCAGCACGCAACAATCAGGTTGATCCGTGGCGTTGGAATCCCGAGAATCATGTTTTGGCATGCTTCAAGATCTTCAAACGGTTGCCTTCCAACGAGGCCGGTTCCCTCCCTCCTGGAAGAATTGTATTTCTTTCAACTAAGGTGCCCCATCCAGGGGCTCGCACCTTATTTTTTCAGGGCAAGCTTGGTTTCACCAGGCTGCGCTGTTGGCCCCTGAGCAGTAACAACAACAAACACAACAACAAAAACAAAACACAAAAACAGCAAGAGCAACAGCAACAGCAACAGCAGCAGCAGCAACAACAACAACAGCAACAATCCGTTTAAGACTGCTCGCTCTTACCTGCTCGCGTGCCACTCAACACGTACATCCCAAACCCTCGATACCCGCCCTCGTCGTCTTCGACCGTACCCACATGGGGGTATATCTTCCTTACCTGCCACGTACCTTTAGCGCAGTCCCTTAAACAGCAGAAGAGAAGACGGATGGGGGAGGAAGAAGGATGGAGCACGAGAGAGATTAGCAGGGCGCGGGGGCCAGGAGCAGAAAAACACGCGGCAAAACCAGACGGGCAGATCGGGCGGATAGGCCCTACAATAACGGGAGGGTCGGCAAGGCGGGCCCCGTCGGCCAGGTCGAGCAGGCGGGTTGCTGAAGCGTGAGTTCTGCATACATCGCGAGAAAATTTCGAGCGATAGCGCGATTCCCAAATAAATTGTGAGAACAGTCACAGCGAGAGCGCAATTCCTGAGCGTCGAGAACGGGGCGTTTGAGTACATTGCGAGGAATTCCCACGCGAGAGCGCGATTCCTGCATCGATTGTGAGGCAGTCATGAGAGAGAGCGCGATTCGGAATGAATTGTGAGGAAGTATCAGGCGGGAGCCGTTGTTGTTGTAAACTGAGTGCCAACAACACAGTCTGGTGACACGTCACTTTCCCAAAAACAGGGTGCAAGCCACGGGAGAAGCATTTCAATTGAAAACTGCAGCAAGGTTACCGGAGAGGGAATCAACAGAAATTGTTCTTTGAAATGGGAATTCAACAACAATCATGTTACCCTCATGCGCGATGTTTCCACACGGAGCATGCAACAATCATGATAACCATCCCCACCATGGGAGATTATTGTTCTATAGCAGGGTCCGCTATTCCCATTCCAAGATCTCCCGCCCAATGCGGTCTTGCAAACACCTCCGAGGATTTTCAACATATCCCGCCTCGAAAACACATGCCCGCGCATTGCTGCGCCGATGCGAGACCGCCAGTGGAACCCCAGCCAAGGGTAAAGCACAAGGAAGTATCGAGCGACAGGATTGCCTTGGTGGGGATGGGGGCTGTCGGCGGCGAGGCAAGGACCTGGTCCTGAATAAAAAAAGAGGAAGTCTCGAGCAGGGCCGCGGTTGTTGCTGGGAGCGGCGCCAATGCTGAAGAGAGTAGGGCGCTAGGCCAGCGTAAAACAAAACGAAATCTCCAGCGGGAACGCTGGTTTTGTTGGAACGGCGGTTTTCGGCGGCGAGGAGGAACACCGCCTTGAGTAAGAAGGGAGGAAGCCTCGAGCGGGCGCCGTGGTTTTGTCGGGACGGGGGCTGTCGACGGAGAGGAACAGCACAGAGCGGGAGCGTTGTTCTTGCTGGGAGCGGCGCCAATTCAAGAAAGAGTGGGGCGCCAGTCCAAGGAAAAACGGGAGGAAGTCTCGGGCGGGAGCGCTGGTTTTGTCGGGACGGCTGTTTTGGGGCGGCAAGGAGGAGCACCGCCTTGAGTCAAAAAGGGAGGAAGTCTGGAGCGGTAGCGTTGCTGTTGCAGGGGGCGGCGCCGATGCGAAAAAGAGTCGCGCGCCAGTCCAAGGTATAACGGGAGGAAGTCTCGAGCGGGAGCGCTGGTTTGTTGGGACGGCGGCTTTCGGCGGCGAGCAAGAGCACCGGCCCTGAATAAAAAAGGAGGAAGTCTCGAGCGGGAGCGTTGTTGCTGTTGGGGGGCCCGTTTTGGCGCCCCCCCAAACCGCTCGAGCGTGAGCTCCATTTTCAATGAAAATGTAGCCGGCGCCGAGGCGAGAGCGCCAAGGCGCCTGGGGAGGGTCCAACAATATTAATTGCTTAGCAATGAACATCGAACAGCAGCAGCATCCTCAGCACTAGTAACAACAACAACAACAACAACAGCAACAACATCAACAACAACAACAACAACAACAACAACCCCAACAACGACAACAACAACAATCGGTTTAGGACTGTTCGCTCTTATCTGCTTGCAGGCCAGCCAACACGTATATCCCAAACCCTCGATACCCGCCCTATTCGCCTTCGATCATACCCACTTGGGGGGAAACTATCTTTCTTACCTGCAACGTGTATTTCGTGCAACAACAGTAACAACAATCATTGTAACACTGATCGCTCTTATCTGTTCTGGTGTCACGCAACACGTATATCCCAAACCCTCGATACCCGCTTTCTGCGTTTTCGATCGTACCCCCTTGGGAGTATGTCTTCCTCACCTGCAACGTATATTTCGTGCAGCCCCTGAGGCAGGGGAAGAGATGACGGATGGAAGGCAGGGGCAAGGGAAGGAGGATGATGGAGCACGAGAGAGAGAGAGTAGCAAAAGGGGGCCAGGAGCAGAAAGCAAGTGGCAGAGCCAGACGGGCAGATCGGGCGGATAGGCCCTAACGGGCGGGTCGGGAAGGCGGGCCCAGGCGGCCAGGTCGAGCAAGCGGGTTGCTGAAGCGTGCGTCCTGCATGAATCGCGAAAACGTCTCGAACAATAGCGCGATCTGCAACGGACGAAGAAGCAATAAAAAAAAGAAACAACACCGCCCCACCGCCTCCACCCCCTCCCCCCTTTCCCCTCTCACCCGTCCATTCCCCCATCACCAACTTCCGCCACCCCAAGCGCCCCCCCCTCCCGATGCCCCCCCCCCCACCCCCTCACCCTCTGCCCTCCACGCGAGCCCCGCGTGGCCCCCGCCGCCACCGGGGCCCCGCCAGCGAGTAGCGACGTGGCCACGAATGGATGCACCGGGGCCACCGACGGGCAGCAAGGGGGCCACGAAGGGCTGCACGGGCCGCGCCGGGCGCTCTGGTGCCACGAACGTGCTGCCCTGGGAGCCAGACATGCAAGCGATGGGGCCACGAAGGGCTGCAACGGTGCCACGAAGGTCAGCGAGGGGGCCACAAGGGGTGCAACGGGGCCACGAAGTGCAACGAGGGGGCCACGAAGGGCTGCAACGGAACCACGAAAGGTAGCGAAGGGGGGGCCACGAAGGGCTGCAACGGGGACACGGAAGGCAGCGAGGGAGCCACGAAGGGCTGCAACGAAGCCACGAAGGGCAGCCGGGCAGCGAGGGGCCACGAAGGACTGCAA